GAGGGCTCATCCCCGGGCATCGCAAACAAACAATCTCCCCTTCCAAATAACAGCGTCAGCATCCCTCACGTCCATCGCGGGATCAATGATGGGGCAACTGTCCATTGAGTGCTGTTTTGCTGACCTTTCATGGACACTCCCCAAATACCAACCGCGGGAATACCGATCCGACGCGCAGCGTTTGACAGGGAAACCCACGTCGCAGAGCATGTAGCAATATTCGCTCATGTTCGGTGCGGAGCGCTTACTCTGCAGCAGCAGCAGCCTACAGCCCGACTTCCTGCACCAACGCATCGGCTCCGCCATCCCCAAGTTCACCCTCATGCAGCCCAGTTCAGCGAACGCGGCCAGCGTCAGCTCCGTGTAGTAGCCGGCACCCCCAATCGGTGCCATCCGCTCATCCCTCGCGTGGCGCTGCGATAAGCGCGACTCCAGCGCACTCCCGTCCCCATCGTCATCCTGCAGCTCCACGCCATCAATGTCGTCGCAGTCGTGATGCTCCCTCGCAGCCATCGCGGCACTCGTCGAGTCCACCACCACCGACAGCGCCCTGCCACGCACACCAACAGCATTCCTCACCATGCTGAGGTCTGCCATGTGCGGGTAGGTGAACGCGACAGCATGGGCCATCAGGTGCGCGGCGATGCGGGTGTCGAGGCGTCCGCAAAATAAAAACGCCGGGCAATGTTCATGGCGCCAGCGACTGGACGGCCATCCTCCAGCGTGGCGCACGGCAGTGCCCACACACCACCAGGAGCAGCAGCCACGTACAGCATTATGTCGGAATTGGCAACACCAGCGGAACAATGCCCAGCAGGCACAGTGAAACGACTGCAAACACTACCCGCGGCAAATTGGGGCACAAACAACGGACCCTCCAGTGGCTGGACGAGCAGACGATCCGCATGCAGTTTGACAGCTGCAGGGACAACCTTGTCGATGAGGATTTTCCTCTTATTACTGGAAAGAGCATCGCCCTGACAATCGTAATATCCTGTCAATGGATTTTCAAGTAAGAATAATCTGAGCTGCAATACTTACTGGTATCATCCAGGTCCCTTGTCGACACATTGATGCGGATGGGTGCCCATCCATTCCCCCCGATGACGGTGTATGTCTGCAACGCACTTCCCGTTCCCAAAGGCACGTTTTTCATCACCACCGGCATAGATTTCGTCCTGTCGACACGCATCGCATCGTCAAAGGAACAATGGTACGTCAGGCTGGCAGCAAAGCAACCGCTGGAACAACACATCAAAGTCAACATCATGAGCAGCAATGGCAGCGCTGCAGGGCACGGTGAGGCGAGGAGCCACTGAACCATCGGCGTGACTGTTGGAAAAGTATTTCTTGGCTTGCTGAGGCAACAAAGACTGATTGGTTGAAAAGAAAAATGAGACGCAAACGTCACCACACAAGAAAACAAATGATGGTTAATAAAAATACGCCCATTCAACCACAACACAAACAGAGATTCAAAACACACACATGACGGGAAGCCGAAGCATGGGACGACCAGCGCACACACACTCTCATTGCTCCCGTAAAGCAAAACACACACACAGGGGGAGAGAGAGAGAGGTCGCCCACTCAATGCAATGGACAAAAAAAACAGTTACGGTGCTCCGCCCATGCAGCCAGGCAGGACGGCAGCGGTGCGTGTCGTGCAAAAGAGAGCACCAACGGGCCTGCATGGGTGTGCATGCATATATACAATGGGCACATTATTGTGTGTGCCTCGTGGGGTGAGGTGAGGGCGAGAGTCCATGCAAGAGGACACACACAGAGAGAAGGAAGAGTGTGTGTGCGGGCGGTGCGTGGCTCTCCCACACTCACTCTCACGCAGCCACCACCGCAGCAGCAGCCGCACACGCAACAAGAAGAAGCAAAAGAGGGAAGGTGGTGTGGGAGACCGCGGTGCTGCCGTCACTGTCGACAGAGTTAGATGTAGCATTGTTTTGGGCGGTGATCGTTTTCACTGTTTCTGCTGCTGTACCACCGGCTGTAGGAGCAAAGTTGGTATTTCCGGCATCGGGGTCATTGTGCAGTCCTTTGGGTTCAGGCTGTTGTTCATTGCCATCTTTCTCATCCGTCTTATTCTGAACAGCAACAATTTCACTTGTGGAGATGGATGATTCTGATGTTGCCGCTGGGCTACCGGTATCTACATCCGTCTTCATCGCATCCTTTGTGGCTGTGCCCTCGCTGTTTTGCTCAAGCACGCCATCCGGTGAAAGCGGTTTCGGTGCAGCGGACTCTGTTCCGATTTGTAACAGTGACGTTTTGTGTTTTTCATCTGTTGAATTCTGTGAGTGTGTTGGTGCTGGTGGTATTCCTTTTTTTCCTTCAGCTGGATCTTCCGCATGTCGTGATATTTCTTTTGATGATACTGACGTTTCACGTGATCGTGCTGCTGGTGTTTCAACTTCCTGTAATATTGTTACTGTCGATGTTTGTTGTCCTAATGACGGCGGTGGTGGTATTCCAGGTGCCTGTGATATTGCCGGTAATTGTACTTTTGGGGACAGTGACGGTAACACAGGGTCGCTGTCGTTAGAGGACGCATTGGCATGACCTCCATTATCCCTTATTTCCCTATTCGAAATGGCACCGACGCCACCGGCATTATGATTTTCAGATTCGGCTGGTGCAGGGAGTACAATTCCTTGCTTATTGGACTCGGGTGACACTATTTCCTTGACTTTGGGCGGCGACACAACGAGGGACACTGATTGTGCCTTACCCTTTAATTCTCTGGGGCTATCCTTCGTGAGGGCTGAATCTTCCTCGGAGGAATCTGAAACACTACCATCATCACTACCTGGAAGAAAAGATACGTCACCAGGAGTACCAGAATCAGAAGTGGGATGTTCACCTCCCACAAGAACTCCACCCGTTGAAGCTCCTTTGGCACCAGGAATTGCAAGAGAAGAGGTAGATTGACCACCAACAATCTCAAGTACGTTTTCACCCAAAGTTACGTGACCACCAGCAGCACCATCAGCCGAAACTCCAGTCAAACCACACCACAGCACGCAGAGGGCACACACCAGCAGCACACGGCCAGGCACCATCATCGCCATCACTCCCGTCACTTGCGTGTAGCCTCCAGCACAAACCAACTCCCCGTCAACGCAGCGAAAACAAAGAGAGAAATACGACCGCCACACCACGCACAGCCACCGCACAAAAACAAACGGCAGCAGCCCAGCAGCAGCAGCAGCAACATGAGACAGATGGAATCAGTACAATTGCAGGACTCGCACACCGCCCCACAACACAGAAGCTATAAAAGCAGAAACAACGAAAAAAGAATTAAGAAAAGAATTAAAAAACAAGAAAAAACAAACCCAAGGCTCCAGTGCGCATGCATATGGGTGTGTCTGGGATGCGTTCAACGTGACGGATGTGGTGCACAACGCGGAGCACACAGCATGGCAGAAGAAGCAAGCAAACAAAACACAATCATCATAATTACTCTTACTTTATACATCGGACCACGGTGGACGTACACATGTCCCCGTGGCTGAGTGCTGGCACGCACAGCCCGCACACACCTCTTCAGCCCAGAGTGGTGTACGCCAGCGCGGATGCGGCGAGAAGCAGCGGGGCACACGCCCACGCAGAGCTGCCGAGGCTGCCGTCAATTCTGCGAATACTTGACGGCGCACGGGTGGTCGTCGTATTTGGCGCCTCTGTAGTCGTAATGCTTGGTGCCTCTGGCGCAGTGGTCGTGGTGGTTGTGGTAGTGGTCGTGGTCGTGGTCGTCGTAGTTGGTGGCTTTGTTGTGGTGGTGGTCGTCGTAGTTGGTGGCTTTGTTGTGGTAGTCGTAGTGGTAGTTTCCTGCTTACCCTCTTCGCTGCACACGGACGGGCAGCAGCACAGTGCGAGCACCAGCAGGGCGTACAGCAGACGGCACGTCACCATCGTGAATGTGGTCATTCAGTCGTGTGGAGCTTATCTGCACAGTGAGAGACATGGAGAGCAACAGGGGAGACGAGAGGTGCGGCAGACACACACAGAGGGCAAACCACATGAGGAGAGAGCAGCAGCCAGGCATGCACCGTACGCCGCACACCACGCACGACACACACTCCAATCCACGGCAGCAGGCACACACACACAGATGGAAGAGGGAGAAGCAAACAGGAGCGGCACACAAGGCTCCACCGCATGCACACACGGCGAGAGCGGTCCGTCGTGTCTGCTCCCCTCACGGAGAGTACGCACACACACACACACGAGAATAGATGCAGCGCACACAGCAGCCCAAAAGGCCAAAGTAACAATAAAGGGAAAGATATCCCCGCACACCACGAGAATTGTTGGTCCACGGGAAGTGCAGCCAATATTCATCACAAAAACAGTTCAGTTGCATTGGGCCTTAGTCCATATTCGGCGCACACCACTTCATGCACGCACAGCCACCACCGCAGCAGCAGCAGCACACGTCACAGGAAGATGCAAGAGCAAAAAGGGGAGGTGGCGTGGGAGGCCACGGTACTGATGTCGCCGTCGCCAGCTGGTGCTGTTCCAATCGATTCGTCGTTAGTAGTTGCGGGCTATACTTGCGTTTCGCCGCCAGCAAGACCTTCATGTTGCGTTCCTTCCTTCGGTACCGCGTCACCAGATGGCTGGTTATTGCTGGAATGGGGCTCCTCAGCGGGTTCCTCTTCCGGAGTCAAAGTCGAAGTACTTCCACTCGTAGAGGGAGATGAAGGTTCGGTTTGTTGTTGACCGACTGTTTGTGGCACCTGCGCTGCACGCGGCTTCCTCCTTTGGTGAGTCCACTTTTTGATCCGTCGCGCCTGATATCCCTCGTCCCTCTGCTGGCGTTGATAACGCCTTCGATGCTGCCTGTTTCCCTGTGCCTTCCGGTTCCCCCGTCACTGGTCGTGCTGCTTGTGGTGCGTGGCTCCCGTTGGGGGCAAGTCAGCAGTGTCGCTGCTCTCCACACCAGTCACTTCTTCCTTCACGGTTGTGCCGCCATCACCTCGGCTGCCGATACAACGTGAGACCTGGTTGTAGCGGGTCCTGCGCTGCATCGGGGTCCTCCTCAACACGGGATACATCCTTCTTGGGGCCATTTAAAGCCCCACCCTCGGACTCTTCCGCATCGGCAGGTGACGATGTGCAAGCGGGTGTAGCAGAACCCGGAGAGTCACCTCCACCTCCCTGAAAACATTCACCCTTTGTACCTCCAGTAGATGCATGACTACCAACCGGGCGGAGGGTTCACCGTCAACACCAACTCCAATTCCGCACAAAGTTCCATGACCACAAGAAACATCATAATCCCCAGCATCGGCCGACACCGCTGGCACCGCACCACAGCACGCAGAGGGCACACACCAGCAGCACACGGCCAGGCACCATCATCGCCATCACTCCCGTCACTTGCGTGCAGCCTCCAGCACAAACCAACTCCCCGTCAACGCAACGAAAACAAAGAGAGAAATACGACCGCTACACCACGCACAGCCACCGCACAAAAACAAACGGCAGCAGCCCAGCAGCAGCAGCAGCAACATGAGACAGATGGAATCAGTACAATTGCAGAACTCGCACACCGCCCCACAACACAGAAGCTATAAAAGCAGAAGCAACGAAAAAAAGAATTAAAAAAAGAATTAAGAAAAGAATTAAAAAACAAGAAAAAACAAACCTAAGGCTCCAGTGCGCATGCATATGGGTGTGTCTGGGATGCGTTCAACGTGACGGATGTGGTGCACAACGCGGAGCACACAGCATGGCAGAAGAAGCAAGCAAAGCAAAACACAATCATCATAATTACTCTTACTTTATACATCGGACCACGGTAGACGTACACATGTCCCCGTGGCTGAGTGCTGGCACGCACAGCCCGCACACACCTCTTCAGCCCAGAGTGGTGTACGCCAGCGCGGATGCGGCGAGAAGCAGCGGGGCACACGCCCACGCAGAGCTGCCGAGGCTGCCGTCAATTCTGCGAATACTTGACGGCGCACGGGTGGTCGTCGTATTTGGCGCCTCTGTAGTCGTAATGCTTGGTGCCTCTGGCGCAGTGGTCGTGGTGGTTGTGGTAGTGGTCGTGGTAGTGGTAGTCGTAGTTGGTGGCTTTGTTGTGGTGGTGGTCGTCGTAGTTGGTGGCTTTGTTGTGGTAGTCGTAGTGGTAGTTTCCTGCTTACCCTCTTCGCTGCACACGGACGGGCAGCAGCACAGTGCGAGCACCAGCAGGGCGTACAGCAGACGGCACGTCACCATCGTGAATGTGGTCATTCAGTCGTGTGGAGCTTATCTGCACAGTGAGAGACATGGAGAGCAACAGGGGAGACGAGAGGTGCGGCAGACACACACAGAGGGCAAACCACATGAGGAGAGAGCAGCAGCCAGGCATGCACCGTACGCCGCACACCACGCACGACACACACTCCAATCCACGGCAGCAGGCACACACACACAGATGGAAGAGGGAGAAGCAAACAGGAGCGGCACACAAGGCTCCACCGCATGCACACACGGCGAGAGCGGTCCGTCGTGTCTGCTCCCCTCACGGAGAGTACGCACACACACACGAGAATAGATGCAGCGCACACAGCAGCCCAAAAGTCCAAAGTAACAATAAAGGGAAAGATGTCCCCGCACACCACGAGAATTGTTGGTCCACGGGAAGTGCAGCCAATATTCATCACAAAAACAGTTCAGTTGCATTGGGCCTTAGTTCATATTCGGCGCACACCACTTCATGCACGCACAGCCACCACCGCAGCAGCAGCAGCACGCGTCACAGGAAGATGCAAGAGCAAAAAGGGGAGGTGGTGTGGGAGGCCACGGTACTGATGTCGCCGTCGCCAGCTGGTGCTGTTCCAATCGATTCGTCGTTAGTAGTTGCGGGCTATACTTGCGTTTCGCCGCCAGCAAGACCTTCATGTTGCGTTCCTTCCTTCGGTACCGCGTCACCAGATGGCTGGTTATTGCTGGAATGGGGCTCCTCAGCGGGTTCCTCTTCCGGAGTCAAAGTCGAAG